AGCAATGCGAAACCCCCTTCTGGGGGGCTGGCGGAACTCGCCGGCACTAGGGTTTGATCCCGCAACCTCATCCTTCGGAAGTCCCATCTAACTTGACTGGGCCACTTCAGGATGGTTTACGAATCTGGGGCCAAAGTTGAGTCCAATCGAGAACCCACTTTTCGCCCAAGTGTTTTGCAGTTGCACGGCCAACCCGAACATGAGACCCTGGCTGTATGTCAGTATTGAGCGTGTAACATGAAGTCTGGAACTCTATAGGGGAGAATGGTACTGTACCAGTCTCCACATTCGTGTGTGGATCAGAACCTTCCAGCTTGGATGATTCAAATTCGACCAGCGTAACGAATCCGATACATCATGGGCCCTCATCTGCATCGCCACGTCATTATGACTCCTTGCTTGGAAGATAACTGGATGCGCGTGTAGCTGGAGTTCCTCGTGGTCAGTCAATCCACTCGAGGTACGCCACGATGGCGTTAAAGTCGCGGTGCAGATATCGCTGCGCCAGTTCAAAGTATTATAGCTTGAAAGGCGCGTTACCCAGTATACACTGGAAGTCTCGGGTTGGCTGAGCTTTCTGAGAGCGGGGGAAGGTCGTGCGGAAAAGTGCCTCGCAGCATGATGAGTGGGGGGGAAGCTGGGGAGGGCTTGCGGAAAAGCACCGCACCACAGCATGAAGGGGTGGCCAGGCATCAAACTTGAAACTTGAAACTTGAACTCAAAACTGCTCAAACTCAGCAATCTCTCGCACTAGGCTAGGTTACTACTAACTTGAAGTGCCTTCCCGTAGGGCTTCTTGAGAGCCATTCGCCCCAGATCTATCGCTCTTCTTCGCCTCTTAGTGTGCGCTCGAATATCTGCGCTATTTCGTACCCCAAAAAACACCACCGCGGCTGTACCCGTAGCGCATTGCGCGCGATTTTCTCCGCGGTATTCGTTCTGTAGTCCCTCTCCCGTCCCTCTATTTCTCACGAATCGGCGGTGGCAAGCAGCGACGTGGTAAAGGGAAGTAGTTGGGAGCGACGTGGTGGCAGGCAGGATTGGGTGCGACAGCAGCCAGCGGGGCGACGATACTGAGCATAGCGGCGACGGTAGCGAGCAGCATGGCGACAACAGCGCAATGACGATAGTGAGCTGCGATGGCGACAGTAGCGAGCAGCGGGGCGACGTCTGCGTGCAGCAGGGCGACGTTAGCGAGCAGCGGGATGTCGTTAGCGAGCAGCGGGGCAAAGCATCTGTTCCGACGGTCCCTAAGCATCACGCGTCCAAACCTCGCAAGCGGCTTTAGCGAGCGAGATTGGTAGCGATGCGGCGAAGGCAAGGGGATGTGTGTGGCAAACGCAATGGCGGCAAGAAACTGCAAGCACGATGGCGACAGGGCCGGAATGGGTGAGAAGGACAGGGGGAAAGGGTGGGAAGAACAGCGATCGATGGTCGGAATAGGTGCTACTGTGGCGAGCATCGCCTGAGGTCGATGCACAGCTCGGTCACGAGACGACATGGTCCGGCTAGTTGCGCACGTGACAGCGAGCAGCGGCGCGACAGTGGCGAGCGGTGGCGAGCGTTAGCGAGTGGCGGGCGAGGCGGGAGCGTGCAGCGACATGCTATAGGCCCCTGTCCTTCTTTCCCTTTCCCCCACTCCTTCTATCCCTTCCCCCCTGTCCTTCCTCCTTTCCTCCATGTCCTTCCCACCCTTTCCCCCTGTCATTCTCTCCCTTTCCCCTTAGTCCTTCCCTCCCTTTCATCGTTTTCGTTCCTCCTGATGCTTAATCCTCCCCCCTGTTCTTTCTTCCCTGTCCCCCTATCCTTCCCTCCCCTTCTTCTCCCTCCCTCCTTTCCCCTCTCCCAACCCACTGCTTCGCCCTGCTCTCATCCGTCCCCTTGCCCCCATTCGTCCCTTTTCCCCCACTACCGTCGCTGCTTTTCCTGCTCATTTCCCCCTTTCCTGAACCCTTCCTTTTCCTCTCTCACATCCCTTCCCGTTCCCACAATCCCATCCCACCATTCACTCTTCTGATGGCCATCCCTTTCCCTCCTCTCCTGTCCCTCCCCTGTCCTATCCCATTCCCCCTGTCGCTTTCTCCTTCCCCTATCCTATCCCATTCCTGTCCTAGTTCAAGCGTGAGAGATTGACCCAAAGCACTATTCACTATTCAGCCCCCCCCCCCCCGCTGCTCCCCCCTGCACCCATTCGTCCCCTTGTCCCCTCACCCAACCCTCGCTTTTTCGCACTCCCGTCCGTCGTTTTCCCCCTTGTTTGTTCCAGGGCATTCCCCCCTGCCACCATCCCCCATGGCACATCCTCCTATGCCACACCTTCAGTTTCACGCCTCCCCATTCCCGAACTCCCCTTGTCCGTCGGTCCCTTGGCGTCTTGCCCTTCCCTGCAGGCAGCAAAGGCGCGACGGTAGCAAGCGGCTCGCTCTCACTGTCTCTCCACCACCAATCCTCCTCTCCCCCACTCCCGCCGTCCCTCCTTTCCCCCGCTACCATTCAAACCTTCCCCCCGTCCCCGTCCCTCCTTCCATCGGTGTCCGTCCCTCCTTCCCCCACCATCCACCCTTTACCCTACCCTTGTCCTTTCAAGGCATCCCCCGATTCCTAAACCCTTCCTTTCCCTTTCTCCCATCCCTTCCCTTTCCCCCTATTCAGTCCCACCATTCACCCCTCTCCCGGCCATCCCTTTCCCCCCTCTCCTGTCCCTCCCCATTCCCCTCATCCGACCCTTCCCTTTCCACTATGACCCCACGGTGGCAGGCGTGACGACATCCAACCCTCTGCTCCACCGCTCCCAACTCCACTGCTTCCCTTCACCCACCCCGCTGCTTCCCTTCACCCACCCAACTACTTCCCTTCACCCACCCCATCACTTTGTGTCGTCGCGCACCCCACTGTTTCTGCCAACCCTCCATTCAATTTCCCCATCAAACATTTTTCACTTCTTCGGCTGGTGTCCTTCCCTACCCCCTCCCCCCCTGCTATCGGTGGACAGCTGCATCAATAATGGATCAGAGGGGTGTGAAGTCTGGCTCATCTTGGAGATGCCATGTAGGATTTAAAGACACTCATGTTTGCCTGCCATGTGTACATTCGTTGCACCCAAAAATAAAAGGGAAACAACCACCCCAAACTTTGATCGTTCTGAAATCCTCAAATGTGCCTTTGAGTCGCAGAATATGATATTTGTGTGGTACTCAGCTTATTTTAAATACAAACTCTTTCGTTATGCAATGTAGAGATGACGGCATACTCATGGGTTTCGAATTTCGCGTTGTCGTGTGTGTTCCCCCCTTCCCTCCCCCCACCCCTTCCCCTTCCCCCTCACTTTCGAGGTTGGCGACGTTCGCATCAGTTGTTTCCTTTTTCTCTTCATCGCAACACAATCTACTCTCTCGCTAGCCAATTGGCGACCAGGAAGGAACAAGACAAAAAACTGTTTGTCACTGTTCCTAAGATATCTGCACCGCGGCTTTAATACCACCAATGAGAGGACATATCTGTATTCATGTACGTGCTGTACCCTCTCCTATTGACACTGATAAGGAGGGAACGGATTCCTGCTCCGTCATTGAAACCGACCTCGATTCCTGAAATGCGCCAAGAGAGTCGAACATTGTCACGATTGCCTGCCTCGCCGTCAAATTCATCCAATCCCGAAGCTTTTCACACCAACCCCGATGACAGCACGTCACCACCACACAGATCCCAAGGCTCGAAGCCCAAACAAAAAAGCCACCAATCCCAAGCTCCCCCTTCCTCAACCAAATCCCCAAGGTCCGCCTCTTCTCATTCCGCTCCACTTCCATCAACCACCAACATCCTTCATTCCTGGCAGGAAGATAAAGCGCAAACGCTTTCCTTTTCTCCATTTTTCTAGCCTGCGTGCTTGCCTACAGATTGCTTTGCTGTAACAAAAGCTCTTCCAAGGCCGACAGGGCTGCTTTCTCCCTGACGGCTGTATCTACTGCACGACCAGCGACGTTCCCCTAAATCTGACTGAGCACATACCTGTCACCGTCGATGGCGACAACGGTATTAAAGCAGTCAGTGTTGCTCGCGCGAGGTACTCAAACTCTAGCCGATCTTCAGACGACTAGCGGGAAGAAGGGAGGCAAGGCATCGTCGTTTTTCGGAGCATCCGTGGCAGTGCACGCAAGGTCTAGGTTTCTCTCCGGTGCTGCTGTCTGCAGACGCGTGACCGTCCGCGATACGACCAATGTCGCAAGCTGTCGCTTTAACTTGTCGCGTGCGACTGCGGTGTACTCGACGACAAATGTTGCGACGGATGACGTTGAGAAGGCTTACGAGGTAGGGTTTCCCCTTCGTTTAAGTTGGCGAATGTGCAGTTTGTGAATTCTACCAACTTATTCTTTCGATCTTTGGTCACTCATAGTAGGCTCCAAGATCTTTTTGAAATGCAGCTGTTTGTACGTTACTGGCATAGAGCTTCAAATGAGGAACTTTTATTTGCGCTATGTCTCTATTTCGAATAAAATCCGTCTCTGCCTGTATCGACGTCTCGCGTAACATCTCAATTCTGTTGATTCGTGCATGTCTTTCGTCGTTATGGGTATCCGCAGGTGGCGGACGCGGAGGAGCTCCTCAAGGAGCACGGAGCGTGCGGTGTCGGCCTGATCGCATCGCTAAAGAACGAGTCCACGCATAAGATTATCGAGCAGGTATCGCTGTTGTTGCACTCAAACTTCGATAATTCTGAGTTCACTTCATGTTTCCGTGTTCATCTTCCCGTGTTTCTCGCCTGTTTCGCCGTCGACACAATCACTAAAAGCTCTAAATTTCCTTTTACCTCCTCGTCCCCACCGCTCCTCGTCTTAGTGTGCATGCGACGCTGTCATCTACTCTAACAACGGTCGTGTCCTTCCCTGCTCGCATCTTGTCAGCACTGAGTAGGCTGTAGCGCCGCCGACAATAGTTCAGCAGTGATCCCTTTTTCCCTTTCCGTACGCGCTCCCGCGCAGGGCCTGACGGCGCTGGGGTGCATGGAGCATCGCGGCGGGTGCAGCGCCGACAACGACTCGGGCGACGGCGCGGGGCTCATGACGGCCGTGCCTTGGGATCTCCTCGACAGCTGGCAGCAGGAGAACGGCCGCGGCCCGCTCGACCGCGCCGCGACGGGCGTGGGCATGGTGTTTCTGCCGAAGAAGGAGAGCGACGCCGAGACCGCCAAGAAACGTGAGCCTTTAATCGCATAGAGGAGGGAATTGAGCTTTATGGGTAAGAAAAAAAAACGCCTGTTATGAAACCGTAGGAGGGATGAATACGACAGTCAGTGCACGCTACCATGGCCCGTGCATGCTCACCAGTCCAGTCGACGCGTTAAGGGGCAAAGTAACACTCCATGCGAATGTCGTGGAGAAAACCGCTGTCGCGACGCTTCCTACCTGGGAGCGAGTTAGGCTGGGAGTGTTGCGACAGGAGCAGGAGAGTAGGACTCGGCGACTTTGGACTGGCGAGAGGGAGAGAGTATGCAAATGGTAGTGACGAGGGACGGGCGCAGCCTTAATGTTCGTGTAATTTGCGTAAATGTGAAATGCAGCCGAAATAAGTGGCGGAAGTGAGCACTGACGACAGTCACTCGAGGGTTCAGGGTTTAGTTGAACTGCCATCTATAGCCGCCCTCAGCCTTCTCCGACTCATCACGTAGCGTCTCACACTTTCCCCTTGCGCCTGTCACCGTGCGTCGTCTTCCCAGTGGTGGAGGCGGTGATCAAGGAGGAGGGGCACGGGCTGGAGGTGGTGGGGTGGCGCCAGGTGCCAGTGAACGAGGCCGTGGTGGGGCCCTTCGCGCGCGTCACTCTCCCCACTATCCAGCAGCTCGTGCTCTCCGTGCCAGGCCTCGCTCCGGACGACACAGAACGCGAACTCTACATCCTCCGAAAGCTCATCGAGAAGACCGTCACACGCACCATCGCAGCAGAGGCAGCAGCCGCGGGGGTGCCAGCGACAGAGCATCCGTTGAACGACCTGTACTTCTGCTCGCTGTCCAGCAAGACGATTATCTACAAGGGCATGCTGCGCGCCGCTGTCGTGGGGGCGTTTTACACGGACCTGAAGAACGAGCTGTTCCGCAGCCCGTTTGCCATCTATCATCGGCGGTTCAGCACCAACACCACGCCTAAGTGGCTCCTGGCGCAGCCCATGCGGTTCCTGGGGCACAACGGCGAGATCAACACGCTGCAGGGGAACCTGAACTGGATGGTTTCGCGCGAGCCCACGCTCACGTCCCCTGTGTGGCGCGGCCGCGAGGCGGATATTTTCCCCGTGGTTAACCTCGCTGCGTCTGACTCGGCGAATCTGGATGGTGTTGCTGAGGTGAGGGGCTGTGGTGCGGTGGATGGATTGACGGAGCTGGGCGGAAGGACGTTTTGGGTGTTGGTTGTAATTATGGAGGTCATGGCTGAGGAGGTGTTGTTACTGCAAGGAGAAGTTACAAGCAAATGCACGACCACATCATTCATGACATTCGTCACTCCCCCTTTTCCCTCACTCCATCATTCCACATCCCACTTCCGCCATACCCTTATCTCTCCCTTCCCTCTCGTCCATCCCTCCCTCTCTCCCCCCTTCCTTCCCTCTCCCTCCCTCCCTCTCATGGCCTGCAGCTGCTGCTGAACAGTGGCAGGCGGCCGGAGGAGGTGCTGATGATGCTCGTGCCCGAGGCCTACCAGAACCACCCCACGCTCTCCGCCAAGTACCCCGAGGTACGTGTCTCCAGTCATCTCATTTCGTTAGGCAGGCATTTCCCCTTGCTCTCTGCTTGAGGAGCGTGCAGACTTGGGTGCGTATAGTGTCTAGGTCACTTTCTGGTTGCGGAGCCATAATCTGGCCTAATAGAGGTAAAGAAAACGAAAATATAAGAGAAGCAAGCACAACTATGTTCCCTCTTATGCTGTAACACCTTGTCTCAACAGGTGGTGAGCTTCTACGAGTACTACAAGTCGCAGATGGAGGCGTGGGATGGACCCGCCCTGCTCGTTTTCAGGTAAGCCCAGCCTCATGTGTGCTTTGCCTCTGTCCATTTCTGTTGCCACATGGTCTCAATATGGGAGCGGCCTACTAATCTCTCACCCAAGCACGTCAGTGCCCACTTCGTCTCTTCAACTTCAACTCTCATTCTCTCTCCCATCCCGGCCACCCGCGTTCTGGGGACGGCAGCAACGGGAGGACAGTGGGAGCGTGTCTGGATCGCAACGGGCTGCGCCCGGCGCGGTACTGGAGGACCAACGATGACATGCTCTATGTCGCCTCTGAGGTAATCTCTCTCTCTGCCCCCTCTGGGGTGTGCTTCGTGAGTCCTCGCCCTGCTTGCAACCCTATCGTTCTTTCCTTGTTGACTGTGGTGCAGCATGGCCTCCTGTCCCTCTCTTCTCCCCTACTCTCCCCTCCCGTCCAACTTGTAACCCCGTCTCCCCCCCAAGTTATTCACTCAATCAGTGATAAGCATGCGAAATGAACCGTTTTGTAAGTGCACACAGAACAGGTGGTGCAATTGTGCTCACTTCCTTCCTCCGCTCTTCCTGTCCCCCCGCCCCCACTGGGCAGGTGGGAGTGCTGAACATGGACGAGGCGACCATTGTGAGCAAGGGCCGCCTGGGGCCAGGCATGATGATCTCCGTCGACCTGCACACGGGCGAGGTGAGACCTGCTGTGCTTTGCTTTGCCGTGCTTTGCTCTCGCCGCGCTCTCTCTGTGCTATTCCCCGTGCCCTGCACCCTCCCGCCTCTCCCCACCCCTCACTCCCCCCACCCCTCCCCTCGCCCCGTCCCCAGGTGCTATCGAACACGTCCATCAAGAGGCAGGTGGCGAACGCGCACCCCTTCAAGGAGTGGCTCGATAAGGAGGTTAGTGCGTTTGGGCGCATGTGCTTGCATGCTAGGGAGTCCGAATCGCTCGAGTAGTTCCTGTTGTGATGTTTGCCATCATATCCAGCCAGTATCACGTGTCTCTCGACCATCAAGCTTCTCCCTATTCTCCCTCCTCTCCTTCCCCGCTTGTCTCTGCTTCCACTCATCCCCCTTCCACATTCTCCCTCCCACCCCCACTGCCACCCACTCGCCCCTGTGCTGTTCTCCCTGTGCCACCAGTCGCGTCAGATCGCCCCCATGCCGTTCGCCGCTGAGCCAGCCCTCTCCCCCGACGAAGTGCTCCGCAGGCAGAAGTGAGCCATGCTTCCCCTCTTTCCACCTCCCGTCCCCCTCGCCACACACACACCCCATTGGATGCACCGCCCAGCTATTTGCAACCCCCTCTGCTGTCCACCCGTCCCCTCCCGTTCTCTCACATGCCTCTCCTCTCCTTCATGAATGTCATTGTTTTTTCTCCCCTTTTAGGACTCGCCACCCGATGTCATCTTTCCATGTGTCTGTTACTTTCCCTTCCCCTGTCCCGCTCCCATCTCCCAACCCGGACCCACCAATCCTTTACCACAAACCACCATACTACCTGCCACCACCCTCCACCCCTCAAAACCCCAACAGTGCCTATGGATACTCAAATGAGGACGTGGTGATGGTGATAGCGTCTCGGTTCTGAGACTCCATCTGTTGCCCCCATCCTTCCCTCACCCTTCCCCCACCACAGTGCGTACGGGTATTCGAGTGAGGATGTGGTGATGGTGATAGAGAGCATGGCAGCGCAGGCCATCGAGCCCACCTTCTGCATGGGCGACGACACACCCCTCCCCGTGCTCTCTGCACGCCCCCACCTCCTCTTCAACTACTTCAAGCAGCGCTTCGCCCAGGTCCGTTCTACTGACGCCCCGCTCCCACCACCCCAAGAAAGTTTTTTTTTTTAACTGTAGAGATGGCTCTTCTTTGCCCCTAAGCTGGCTCGTGCATAACTTAGCTCAAACTGTACCTCTCGCCCAACCCACCACCTTTTCCCCCTCCCCCCTCCCCACCCCCCCCTAAACCCCTCATTTCTGCAGGTGACGAACCCGGCCATCGACCCCCTGCGCGAGGGCCTGGTGATGTCTCTGGAGATTGCGCTGGGGCGCCGAGACAACATCCTTGACGTCGGTGCCGAGCATGCCAACGTGGTGCGTGCACTGCTGCCATAGTTTGTGGGAGGGAGGTGGGGGAAGGGGATTTGGGGTTGGGTGGTAGTGAGGGGTCGTGCTGCATACCAATACCTGTGGGCCGGTGGGATGATGTGGGTTTGGCGTATGTATCAATTTATCTGCCAGGCATCAGGCAGCAGCAGCCACCTCCATGCTTCCGCTCACCACTCCAACCTCCTCTTTCTATTTCCCTTCCTATTTGTTATTTTCCCCTGCCCCCTCCCAGGTGCGCCTCACCTCGCCAGTGTTGAACGAGGCGGAGATGCAGGAGCTCATGGAAGACAAGCAGCTCGCAGCAGCACTTTGTGTTGACTTTAACTCGCCTCTCCACTCACTCTACTCACACCACTCTCTCTGCTCCTGTCTCCCCCCCCCCCTCAGGTGCGACTCACCTCGCCAGTGCTGAACGAGGCGGAGATGCAGGAGCTCATGGAAGACAAGCAGCTCGCAGCAGCGCGCCTGCCCATCTTCTTCGACGTCTCCCAGGGCGTTGATGGCGCCCTCTCCCGCGGCCTTGACGCCCTCTGCGCTGCTGCCGACGCTGCTGTCGACTCCGGAGCGCAGCTGCTAGTGCTGTCGGACAACGCCGCCCAGCTCGACGCCACCCGGCCGGCGATCCCGGCGTTATTGGCCGTGGGCGCCGTGCACCACCATCTGATCCGCACTGGGAAGCGTCTGCATGCGTCGATAGTGGTGGAGACGGCGCAGTGCTTCAGCACGCACCACTTTGCGTGCCTGGTGGGGTACGGGGCGAGTGCTGTGTGTGCGTATGGCGCGTTGGAGACGGTGCGGCAGTGGCGCGCGAGTGAGAAGACGCAGAAGCTCATGACGTTTGGCAAGCTGCCCTCCGTCACCTCGGAGCAGGCTCAGCTCAACTACCGCAAGGTGGGCTCAAACCTCATTGCTCAGCTACTGCCGAAGACGGGCATCTCGCTGCTGTCGAGCGACTGTGGCGCTCCATTGCTCATTGCTGTTAGTGGGCAAATGAATCTCTGATGAGTTTGAACTTGCTGACCTCGTCTCTCCGTGTGTGCCTTCACTACAGGCGATAGAGAAGGGGCTGATGAAGATTTTGTCCAAGATGGGCATCTCGCTGCTGTCCAGCTACTGTGGCGCGCAGATCTTTGAGATCTACGGGCTCGGCGCCCCGGTGGTGGACCGCGCCTTCAAGGGCTCCGTCTCCCGCATTGGAGGGCTCACCCTGGACGAGGTGAGGGTCACCTTGCTTTTGAGATCTTTGAGATCTACGGGCTCGGCGCACAGGTGGTGGACCGCGCCTTCAAGGGCTCCGTCTCCCGCATTGGGGGGCTCACCCTCGACGAGGTGAGGGGTGCGATGCGGAGGTGACGTGAGACACGCTGGACGAGGTGAGGGCTGCGTTGCTTTTTCCTTCTCCTGTTTCCAGCAGATGTTCTTCTGTGCCATGCTGTGCTGTGAACACAGGGTGTTTGCTGTCTACCAAGGTTCACGACACCTTTCTCCCCTCCCTCCTGCCCCCATCGTTTCCCCAGCTTGCGAACGAGAGTCTGACGTTCTGGGCCAAGGGCTTTTGCACGGAGGGCAAGGGCAAGCTGGAGAACATGGGGTTCCTGCAGGTGAGGCAGGGCGGCGAGTACCACAGCAACAACCCCGACATGAGCAAGCTGCTGCACGCTTGCTAGGGGTTTCCCTACCAGCCGAAACATGTTTGTCCGTGTTTTAACCACTGCTTAGTGAAGAGCTCCGGTTTTACTGAACCCTACGAGAATTAGCTAGTTCTTTGGTATAACAACAGTCCTTCCTTTGCTAAACTTTCTCCTAAACTGCTGCCCGCTGGAACATGTCGGACGATGTCCTGCAGGTGAGGCAGGGCGGCGAGTACCACAGCAACAACCCCGAGATGAGCAAGCTGCTGCACAAGGCCGTGCGCCAGGGCGAGCAGACCGCCTACTCCGCCTACCAGGCGCACCTCGCCACACGCCCCGTGAACGTCCTCCGGGACTTGCTCGAGCTCGACACTGCGAGCCGCTCGGCAATTCCCCTGGAGGAAGTGGAGTCGGCGGCGTCGATCGCCACTCGGTTCTGCACAGGAGGCATGTCTCTGGGCGCCATTTCCAGGGAGTGCCACGAGGTGATCGCGGTCGCCATGAACCGGCTGGGCGGGAAGAGTAACTCGGGGGAGGGCGGAGAGGACCCCATGCGATGGGTAGAGCTGGAGGATGTGGATGCAGACGGGCGCTCGCCCACCTTCCCGCACCTCAAGGGGTTGAGGAACGGCGACAAGGCGACGAGCGCCATCAAGCAGGTGGCGTCGGGGCGGTTTGGCGTGACGCCGACGTTCCTGGCGAATGCGGAGCAGCTGGAGATCAAGGTGGCGCAGGGGGCGAAGCCGGGCGAGGGCGGGCAGCTGCCGGGGAAGAAGGTGTCGCCCTACATTGCGCAGCTCCGGAGCTCCAAGCCGGGCGTGCCACTCATCTCGCCCCCGCCCCACCACGACATCTACTCCATTGAAGACCTCGCCCAGCTAATCTTCGACCTCCACCAGGTGGGGGCACAGGCTTTGGTATACGTGTGTCATTAAAGCTCCCATCCTCTCTTCTAAAAGCAAAGCACCGTATCACATGCACACAAATACACCTAGGTTCCACTCACTCTGTCCTTGCTCTGATCCATCTCCTTGCACACCCTTCTCTCCCACCCAGGTAAACCCAGCGGCCAAGGTGTCAGTGAAGCTGGTGGCGGGGCATTGGAACAGTGGCGAGTGGCGTGGCCAAGGCCAATGCGGATATCATTCAGATCTCTCCTCCCATCCCTTCCTCATCCATATCCTTTCAAACCCCTCTCCCGCTCCAGGTGAACCCAGCGGCGAAGGTGTCAGTGAAGCTGGTGGCGGAGGCGGGCATCGGCACAGTGGCGAGCGGAGTGGCCAAGGCGAATGCGGACATCATCCAGATCTCGGGGCACGATGGTGGCACGGGCGCCAGCCCCATCAGCTCCATCAAGCACGCTGGCGGGCCCTGGGAGATGGGTCTTACCGAGACGCACCAGGTGGGATGGGGTAGAGTGAATTGCATTGGGTGGGATGGGACAGAGTGAAGCACATATGGCAGGGGGAGTGGGGCTGTGTGAAACACACCAGTCTCAGAAATGCTGCACTTGCATGGGCGTTTTCCCTTGCTTTTACCTCTTCGACTTATCTTATTCTCCCACTAACCCCCCTCCTCCAGACACTTCTCGCCAACGGGCTGAGGGACCGTGTGGTACTCCGTGTGGACGGGGGCATCAAGTGCGGCACGGACGTGCTCGTGGCGGCTGCCATGGGCGCCGACGAGTTTGGCTGTGTTGCTCATTGCTCCTCAATCCCCTTACTCCCTCTCACCTCTCTACCAGACGCTCCTTGCCAATGGGCTGAGGGACCGCGTGGTGCTCCGAGTGGACGGGGGCATCAAGTGCGGCACGGACGTGCTCGTGGCGGCTGCCATGGGCGCCGACGAGTTTGGCTTCGGGTCGCTCGCCATGATCGCCACGGGGTGCATCATGGCGCGCATCTGCCACACCAACAACTGCCCCGTGGGGGTTGCCTCTCAGGTACCCACCATCACCTTTAGCTGGCGTCTCTTGCCAGAAATGCTGGTTCTGGGAATACTGTTTGTTGGTTCTATTCTAAGCAACCGCCTAATACCTTTTTTCTATCAACTCCGTGTGTTCCTCATCTTGTTTCCGCTCTCACTTCTCTTTTCCACTTCTCCTCTTTCGCCGTGTCTGCCCCGGTGCCTCCCTCCCTCCTGCGACCGTGCACATGTGTGTGTGGGCCACAGAGGGAGGAGCTGAGGGCGCGCTTCCCTGGGGTTCCGTCAGACCTGGTCAACTACTTTGTCTTCGTTGCAGAGGAGGTGAGGCGTTCTCCACCTTTCCCTCTCCCTCTCCCCTTCGCTCTTGAGATTAGACCTGCCTAGCCATATCCCATCAACTTTCCCGTTTCCTGTATCTCCTTATCCCTTCCTTGCGAATCTGCTTCCTTCCTTGCTCACCCGTCCACCTTCCCCCTGTGCCACCTATCTCCACCCCCGCACAACCTGCAGGTGCGGGTGGGTTTGGCATCGCTGGGCATGAAGAGTTTGGACGAGCTGGTGGGGCGAGTGAACGCACTCAAGGCCAGGGATGTGGCACTCGCTAAGACCAACTCCATCGACCTCTCCTACCTCCTCACTGTATGCTGCTTCCCCTCGCCTCTGCATGCACGCCTGCCACCCCTGCACACCCTCCGCCATGCACGCCCCTCCTCGCGCCTCACAGCATGGGCGTGTCCTCTACGCATTGATACATGTGTTCATACATGCCATCGATTCCCTCTGTCCTTGCCGCGCTGTCACATTGCCACGTACGTAAGCCTCTACGCAATGTATTATTCCTCCACCTTCACACAACAAAATCTTCTCTGCCGCATTTCTCCCCTGCTCCCCATGCCACGGCACTCCACCAGTACCCCGGGGTGTCAGAGCAGAGCAGCTTCGAGCGCATGGCACAGGAGGTGCACTCCAGCATGCCACAGTGTTCTCAAACCCCTCTCTTCCCCCCACCGCCCCCTCCCATTCCCCCACCTCCTCTCCCCATTCCTCTCCTCTCCCCACACGTACCAGTACCCCGGGGTGTCATCGGCGAGCAGCAGGGAGCGCATGGCACAGGAGGTGCACTCCAACGGGCCCATGCTGGACGACGCCCTCCTCGCCAACCCCACCGTGCGTCCCACCCCCCCCCCTCGCCCCCCCACACACGCGCATGTTCCACATAGATAGCGTCTTGTTTCTCTCCATTTGTTAAGGCGCCTTAAACCAAAAGGCAGCAGGGAGCGCATGGCACAGGAGGTGCACTCCAATGGACCCATGCTGGACCACGCCCTCCTTGCCAGCCCCACCGTGCGTTCTCTGCCCCCCATACGCCCACCTTTCCCATACATGCATGATACACCCCCCACATTATTGCAACTGGCTTGTCCCTACATCTGCATGACACATATGTATCACATATCCGTCAACATCGCTTGTTTGTGCGCTCTGAACATCTTTTTCGTAATCGCAAGCCCTCGATCTTCTCCATGTGCAGGTGATGGCGGCGATAGAGCAGAACAAGGTGGTGCAGCTGGCCACGCCCATAGTCAACACGGACCTGCCTTCCCTGCTTCCCTCTCCCCTTCGCTTCCCTGCCCGCCCTGCTCCCCTTGCCCCCCCATGTGCCCTCCACATTGCAACGAGCAGGTGATGGCGGCGATAGAGCAGAACAAGGTGGTGCAGCTGGCCACGCCCATAGTCAACACGGACCTGCCTTCCCTGCTTCCCTCTCCCCTTCGCTTCCCTGCCCGCCCTGCTCCCCTTGCCCCCCCATGTGCCGTCCACATTGCAACGAGCAGGTGATGGCGGCAATAGAGCAGAACAAGGTGGTGCAGCTGGCCACGCCCATAGTCAACACGGACCTGGCCTCCCTGCTCCCCTCGCCCCTGCTACATGTCCCCCCCATATGCCAACAAGCAGGTGATGGCGGCGATAGAGCAGAACAAGGTGGTGCAGCTGGCCACGCCCATAGTCAACACGGACCTGGCCTCCCTGCTCCCCTCGCCCCTGCTACATGTCCCCCCCATATGCCAACAAGCAGGTGATGGCGGCGATAGAGCAGAACAAGGTGGTGCAGCTGGCCACGCCCATAGTCAACACGGACCTGGCCTCCCTGCTCCCCTCGCCCCTGCTACATGTCCCCCCCATATGCCAACAAGCAGGTGATGGCGGCGATAGAGCAGAACAAGGTGGTGCAGCTGGCCACGCCCATAGTCAACACGGATCGCTCCACGTGTGGCCGTGTGTCCGGCGCCATTGCCAAGCGCCATGGGGACTCGGGCTTCACTGGCACCGTCAGCATCACGTGAGCTCCCACTGCTCCCCCACTGCCCCCCCCACTCCCCTCTGCATCATCCTTCGCCCCTGATGTTCTTCACCCTCCCTGCTCTATGGGTGCACTACATATACCTTTTGGAGCACGCCAAGCCTCATATTCTCTGTTTGTGCGGGGCTCACATTTGGCTCACATTTGGCGACTCCACATATACCTTGTCGGGATCAAGACCCACGTTCTTCCACACGCTTCTTTCCCTTCCCCATGGTATTCCTGTCTGCAGGTTCAAGGGCAGCGCAGGGCAGTCGTTTGGGTGCTTCCTGGCAGGCGGGATGAACATTCGGCTCATCGGCGAGGCCAATGACTACGTGGGCAAGGTACTGTAAACAACGGAGGCACCTTGCCGCCAGAACTGCACCTCTCTGCACAGCACTTACGGCAGAAACCTCTTTCTTTCTGCCGTTCATCCCCCTTTTCCTCATCCGTACATCCTTTCTTGTCCCAACTCCCTCTCCCCACACCTTCCTTCCCCCCTCTCCTGATGCCTCACAGGGCATGGCAGGGGGGCAGATAGTGGTGGTGCCATCCAAGGCAGCCACCTTCCAGGCGGAGACAGCCACCATCATCGGCAACACGTGTCTGTACGGCGCCACAGGCGGCAATGCCAACTCTTTTTCTCCGCACATTTCCTTTCCCCACTCCTTAAATCCGCACAGGGCATGGCAGGGGGGCAGATAGTGGTGGTGCCATCCAAGGCAGCCACCTTCCAGGCGGAGACAGCCACCATCATCGGCAACACGTGTCTGTACGGCGCCACAGGCGGCAATGCCAACTCTTTTTCTCCGCACATTTCCTTTCCCCACTCCTTAAATCCGCACAGGGCATGGCAGGGGGGCAGATAGTGGTGGTGCCATCCAAGGCAGCCACCTTCCAGGCGGAGACAGCCACCATCATCGGCAACACGTGTCTGTACGGCGCCACAGGCGGCAATGCCAACTCTTTTTCTCCGCACATTTCCTTTCCCCACTCCTTAAATCCGCACAGGGCATGGCAGGGGGGCAGATAGTGGTGGTGCCATCCAAGGCAGCCACCTTCCAGGCGGAGACAGCCACCATCATCGGCAACACGTGTCTGTACGGCGCCACGGGCGGGCGGCTGTTTGTGCGCGGGTGTGCGGGGGAGCGCTTTGCAGTGCGCAACTCCAACGCACAGGCCGTGCTGGAGGGCGCCGGCGACCACTGCTGCGAATACATGACTGGCGGCACTGTTGTGGCGCTTGGCAAGTGAGTGCCAGCTGGCGGGTTGGGGAATCGAGGGGTTGGGGACACGGGAGAGCAGTGACATGGGGGGGCATGAGGCATTGACCAAATATCTTAACCCGCTCGCCACTGCTGTGAGCGCATGGTGGCTGGCACCTTGGTTAGGGGATTGAGAATCATGGGTTGAGTTTGGTTCTGCATGCACTTGTCATTCCAGGCAATGTTTGAGCATCACTGCTTGTCTCTCTCTCTCTGGCCCCTTTTTTCCCTCGGCGTTCCACAGGGTGGGGCGCAATGTAGCAGCGGGCATGACGGGAGGCATCGGGTACTTCCTGGATGAGGACGACACCTTCTCCCCTAAGGTCCGTTTCCCACTCTTCCTTACCTATTATTGCCACATCGTCTCCCGTCCCCTTCTGTTTTAATGTTGGTGATATCTCTGTCTCGACCGTCACATCTATTTACTTCTCTTCACATCAGGAATTTCTATTGCATTTACCTTCCTAACCTTGCTGTATCTGGCTGGTCACATCCATGTGATTCCTCAGGTGAACCGGGAGATTGTGGCGATGCAGAGAGTGGTGTCGCCAGGGGGGCAGCAGCAGCTCAAGTCGCTCATCCAGGACCATGCGGTACGCTCTCTCTGCACCCACTCACACCAACTCTCACCGTGCCTGCACTCGACCTTGTTTCTCTGTCGCCTTTATTGCAGGGCAAGGCATCATGCAAGGTGTAGTTGTGTTAATACAAGTATCCCTACTTTCCCCACTCACATGCATCATCTCCTCCTCCCACCATCTCCGTGTGCTGTACAGGATCTGACGGGCAGTGCCAAGGCGGCCGCCATCCTGGCAGAGTGGGACAAGTTCCTGCCGCTCTTCTGGCAGCTTGTGCCGCCCAGCGAAGCCAACTCGCCAGAAGCCAAGGCGCCTGCTGCTGAGGAGCCTGTAGCTGCGCTTGCATGAAGCAGTGCGGTGTGAAGTCAACGCAGTTTTCAGTGTGCCCTTCTTGGTGCAAACCACCTCGATATGAAGTTGTTTCTTGTTGCGGCTTCACATTGCAGCGTTTCCCTATGGGGACTTGGATGAGGTATTGATGCATGGTTGTCCAGCATCAAAGCCAAAATTGGGAGGACATCAGCTGGTGTTTATTCGGTGCATATAACTTCCAGGGTTAGCCTGGTCTTGTGCTACCAGGCCTGATAACCGTACCTGCTGTGCTCGTGTTTGTTAGGGAAACTGCCCTGTGACCCATCCTGAGCATGTGGGATGGATTGCCCAACCTAATGGCCTATTTACAGTGCCTAGATAGTAAGTGTTCATTATGTAGCAGTCCAATATCGAAATCAGGAAAATTTGCAATCTCCGTTACTGGAGCAGAATGTTTCAACATTGGTGATACCTGTCGGAACCGTCGTAGACTTGTCGCCACGGCACCCTCAAATCCCACGCCGCCTCGCCGTGTGCGACCCTTCTGGACCACTAGTTTTCCACGAAAAAACCCCTGAACCCTGAACCCGTCAGGCTCTTGGGAACTCGTTTTCTTCTCAGGCGAATCTCACACGGATGAGTGCGCATCACACCATGAATTCCTGACACCATTCCTCCCATCCGCTCCCCTCCCAGCCTCATGGCATAAATTCCTCGAGAATCCCGCAGTTGTGCTCTCTTTGCCTTGGCAAGCTCGAGGACAGCACGAGTTGCATCTCTGCCTCTGCGAGATTCTAGCCCGCTCTAGCCTCGACTGCCCGTGCGCGGATCCGTGACTTGCGTCTGCTCCTCGTGTTTCGTGCGTGTCGCCGCCATGGATTTAGCGCAACTGTCCGGCGTGCTGCAGCAGGCCCTCAGCGCCAATCCCGAGGAGCGCAAGGCTGGCGAGGCTCATCTCGTGCAGGTCCGTCCGTAGATCATCCCGTCCGTAGATCATCGCGTCCGTCCCGTCCGTAGGTCATATCGTCCGTAGATCCTCCCGTCCGTAGATTATCCTGTCCGTGGATCATCCTTTCCGCAGATCATTCCTTCCGTTGATCCTCCTGTCTGTGGATGTGAATCCTTTGTTTAGTGAATCGCTAGTTTTCTTCCTGACAGCCTACCTAGCAGAATTGTCGTAAGTCAGTGTTCCTGAATCTCAGGTTTTTCTCATGTATCTCGGTTTGCCTGACCGAATGTAAGCATGACCGAGGAGCACGAGCATTGCTACAACCTAACCTTAGATTCAAGGGATTTACCTTGTCTAAGAAACAGTGTAATCTTCCGATGCGGTCGCGCATTGTCGCATTCTCAGGCGACGCCAAACTAATTTCTTTCGTCGTCTTCGTCCGTCTGATCTCCCGCCGTGATCTCCTCGCTTCCCCGGTCCCCCTGTGCGCGTCCTCGTTCCCTTCGTGCTGTTCCGAATGGGCAGAACCAGTTCGTGCCGGGGCATCTCGTGGCGCTGCTGCAGATGGTCGTGCGTGCTGACGTGGACCTCGCGATCCGCCAGGTGGCGGCCATTCACTTCAAGAACACCGTGTCGCGCAACTGGAGAACTAAATCCGATGCTACCGAGGCCGCCGCTGCAGGTGAGTCGTCTCCTCGTTATAAGCTAATCGTTCTAGTCAGCGCCTGACGACGAATTTGAGAATGCGGCTGTTTGAGGAGAGCGGAATATGGTATAGTTTACGGGGAAGGAAGCTAACGCACCGTCTTGTAACGAAGCAGGTGGTACTCGAGTGCCATAACGGATGAGGCTATCCTTGTCCGACGAGGGCGAGGGATGGGATCGGGGTGGGTTGATGATATAGGATGCCATTGGCGGGTGGTGGGATTCTCGTAGCCTGCCGAGCGTCGTCTCTTAACTGTACGCGTTGCGTCCTCCGCGATCCCGGCAGGCTCGCCGCTATTCTCGGACGGTGACGTGGCGGCGGTGCGGGACAACCTCGTGGAGGCCGTCATCTGCTGCCCGCCGCTCATTAGGTGCGCTGCCGTCCTATCCTCGCATCCCCGCGCATCGCATGCATCACCTTGCGCATTCCAGTGTTCCATTCGTATTCTCGCGTCTGGCCTCCTGTAATCATCTCGTATGATTGTCTTGAACCTACAATTACTAGCGAGACCCCTGATTCCCATGTCTCCCCCCTTTCACTTCCCCCCTTTGCACGCACCCTCCGCAGGTCGCAGCTGATCGAGGTGCTCAAGGCGGTGGTGCAGAGCGACTACCCCGACCGCATGCCGGCGCTGCTGCAGCAGGCGCTTGCCAACCTGCACAGCCCCGACCAGCCGCGCGTCTACGGCGCGCTCGTCGTCGTGCGCGTGCTCGCACGCAAATACGAGTATGTGCCTGGGATGGTGGTGTTCACTCGTGATAGGGCGCACGCAGATACGAGTAGGTGCCTGGGATGGGACGCGTGGGAATACGTTACATCCTGTGCTGGGGCGGACTGCGAGTGAGTACGAGTGCGTGCTGCGGCACTGTTTACTTCGAGCAACGTGCGGCGTGAATCTATTCATTGGCGTACTGCCATCACTTCCTCCACTCGCCCTACCCCCGCCCTGGTCGAAAATGTTCAAGAATTACGACGACCGCGTGCCCAAGCAGCTGACCACCACGCTTCCTTCCCTCCCCTTCCCTTCCCTTCGCCCCGAACCTGCTATCTTCTATTTACTTGTCGCATCTCCCTGTTCCCATGTCCATTCCCCTCACCTCCACTCTCCCCTCTTCCACTATCCCCGTGTGCATGTGCAGGTTCAAGGATGAGGAGGACCGAGTGCCGGTGCACGAGGTGGTAACCAGCACCTTCCCGCAGCTGCTGGTCATTCTGCAGCAGCTGCTGGCCGTGCCCAACCCCTCCCTCGATATTGCCGAGTACATCAAGCTCGTGCTCAAGATCTTCTGGTCCGCCTGCTACGTGAGTGCCGCTGCGCCACCCGAGTGAGTAGGCATGCAATTCTAAGTAGTGCTATGTGAACGGATGAGCTTAGCTCCCTTTTCCACAATCTACCATCGCCCTCCATTCCGCTGGCAGTTGAAGGTACCGGAGATGGTGAGGCAGGAGGCGGTATTCCTGGCATGGTTGGAGTGCTTTCACGCGCTGCTGGACCCAGCCTTCTTCTCGCCTCTTCCGTTCCTCCCCCATATCCCCACCGCTGTCACCACCGATCCCCCAATAACAGCTCTAGGTACCGGAGATGGTGCAGCAGGAGGGCGTGTTCCTGGCGTGGATGGAGTGCTTCCACGCGCTGCTTCACCCGCCCTTTTTCTCGCCTCTTCCGTTCCTCCCCCATACCCCCACCGCTGTCACCACCCGATCCCCCAACAACAGCTCTAGGTACCGGAGATGGTGCAACAGGAGGGCGTTTTCTTCCTGGCCTGGATGGAGTGCTTCCACGCGCTGCTAAACCCACCCTTCCCTTCATCTTCCGTTCCTCCCCCACCCACCCCCAATAACAGCTCAAGGTGCCCGAGATGGTGCAACAGGAGGCGGTGTTCCTGGCGTGGATGGAGTGCTTCCACGCGCTGCTGGAGCGGCCAGTGCCCGCGGAGGGGCAGCCGTCGGACCCCGAGCAGCGCAAGCAGTGGGCGTGGTGGAAGGTGAAGAAGTGGCTGCTGCACATCATCAACCGCATGTTCCACAGGTGCTCACTTGCTAGGGATGCTGGGGCATGGGGGCCTGGGGGGGCATTGGAGGGTACGGGCATGAGTGTGGGCAGCGCAAGTAGCAAGCGTGGTGGAAGGTCAAGAAGTGGCTGCTGCACATCATCAATCGCATGTTCCACAGGTGCTCACCTACAAGGGATGCTGGGCAGGTGGCATGGGTATGGTAAAGGAGCAGCAGTGTGCTGCAACTCTACGAGTTCACCCAGCTCGAACCACACAAGCAGCAGGCATGGGGCATGGGAGTGGTGGATGGTGTAGGCATGGGGGTAACTATCCCGGCATCTCCACCCTCGTTCGTCACCATACTCCCATTCTCCCACCCCCACAGGTTTGGCAATCCCAAGTACGCCAAGGGCGACGACAAGGCGTTCGCCACCATGTTTGCCAATAAGTGCGCTGCCCTCATGTTTTAAGTTACCACACCCCCATTCGTCCCTGTCCCGCAGGTTCGGCAATCCCAAGTACGCCTAGGGCGACGACAAGGCATTCGCCACCATGTTCGCCGACAAGTCTGTTATGAGGCATCTCAAATTCCATTTCACCACTCACCCACTCCCCCCTGTCCCACAGGTTCGGCAATCCCAAGTACGCCAAGGGCGACGACAAGGCATTCGCCACCATGTTCGCTGACAAGTGTGCCACCCGCCTGCCATGAGGCACCTTAAATCTCACCCCACACCGCACCCCCACTCTCCCCTGTCTCGCAGGTTTGGCAATCCCAAGTACGCCAAGGGCGACGACAAGGCATTCGCCACCATGTTCGCTGACAAGTGTGCTGCGTGCCTGCTGAACTCGTACCTGCACCTGCTGGCACCCGTTCGCACCGACCCCAACAGCCTGCCCGACCGCATCACCAACCTCGCCATGCAATACGTCACCTACAGGTGCGGGTGTGGGTGTGTGTGTGTGGGTGTGTGGGGGGGGGGGGGGGGGGGGGGGTGGGTGTGTGTGTGGGTGTGTGTGTGTGTGCGCGCGCACGCATGCGCCATTCGTCTCCCCATCCTGTGCGCCTGCAGGTGCAGGTGCTGCAGCTGAGATCACAGTCCTGTTCTGCTCATCCCTCGTCTGCCTGTCCCCATGTGTGCATGTGTGCGTGACACCAGTCTATCGAAGAAGGCGCTGTACGAGTCACTGAAGCCGCACCTGCAGGTGCTGCAGTTCGAGGTGGCGTTCCCGTTGCTGTGCTTCAACGACCACGACGCCCTGCTCTGGGCCGACAACCCCCTCGAATACGTCCGCAAGGGCTACGGTGAGTAGGAGAGGGGAGAGTGCGGTGTGTGGGGAAGTGGGAAGGGGATGGGGGGGCAGGGGTACGATGCACTGTTCTGGGCTGATAACCCCCTCGAATACGTCCGCAAGGGATACGGTGGGTAAAAAGGGGGGGAAGGGAGGTCTACGGTGCATGCGAGGGGAGGGAGGGAAGGATATAGTGTGTTAAAGGGTAAGATGGTCTAACATGTGAACTCCTTAACCGATTAGCAACCCATCATCCTTCCTCCCTGCCTCTGCCCTTTGTCTCTCCCTCTCCCTCCCCTCCTTCCTCTCCCCCCCCCCCTCGCAGACATCATAGAAGACATGTACAGTGCGCGCACGGCGGCACTCAACTTCCTGGCGGAGCTGGTGACGAAGAGGAGCAAGGACACGCTCGACCCCTTCATTGCTGCTCTCGTGCTCATCCTCAACCGGTCAGTACCTCTTCCTGCAACCGCTCACTGCTGGGGGCTGGGATGATAGCACACAGCGTGGGGGGTACCAGCACGCTGAGAGGTGAAAGCAACAAGATCAGCCTTGCCATCTTTCGAGGTTGAACGGTCAACGCCTTCCACCAGCATCCTAATGGGCATTGGCCTTATCGCCACCCATCCCGCCCACCAGGTACAACGAAGCACCACCGGATCAGAAGGCGGCGCAGGCACGGCAGAAGGACGGGGCGCTGCTGGCAATCGGCGCGCTGCATGAGAAGCTGCAGGGCACGGCGCGCTACAAGGCACAGCTGGAGCACATGCTGCTCACCCACGTCTTCCCCGAGTTCACCAGCCCCTGCGCCTTCCTCCGCGCCAAGGTCAGCTTTCACTCAACCATTTCTTGTTTCTGAATCCGCCAGCCCCTGCTCCTTCTTCTGAACCAAGTTGACAAGGGGGGGGAAGTGGGCGGGTGGCTGAGGGGAAGGTTTTGGAGGAGGTCGAGGGAAGTTGTGAGAAGTGTAAGTGGAAGTGAAGGAGTGGTGGTAGAAGTTTGGACACTGGGGCTTTTGGCAGCAAGGGTGTCTTTGCTCTCCTCCACATCTTCAACACAATCCCCATCCTCCCCATCTGTCTATTGTGCTCACCAGGCGGCGTGGGTGGCGGGGCAGTATGCCGACATCCCCTTCAGCAACCCCGCACACTTCGGGGGAGCGCTGCAGGCGGTGGTGGCGCTGCTGCGCGACCCCGAGTTGCCCGTGCGTGTGGATGCTGTCGTGGCGCTGCGCTCATTCGTGGATGCCTGTGAAGGTGTGTGAGAGGCGCATGTGGAGGTGAGAGGGTGAAGCACGCGTGAGAGGCACTTGAGGGAGGCGCTGCTGCGCGACCCTGAGCTGCCCGTGCGTGTTGATGCTGTTGTGGCCCTGCGCTCCTTCGTGGACGCCTGAGGAGGTGAGACCGTGAGGTTGCCTGTAGTAGCAGGAACAGGGAAAGTTAGAGGGTGAGTATGAGGTGGTATCTCTCCTCGCTTTCAATCGTTCCATTTCCGGCACGCTGCTCCTCTTCTTCCCATGCAGCTGCTAACCCTCACCATGCTTGCATGCATCCTGCCTCCTCCATAACGCCTCCCCATCGCCCCTACCCCCACCACCGTCCCTCTGTGTGCAGACCTGGACCAGCTGCGACCCATCATTCCCAATCTGCTTGACGGTATGCCCTCGCCCTGACATGCTGCCATGCTGCCATGCTGCCATGCTGCCGTGCTGCCATGCCACCATGCTGCCATGCTGCCATGCTGCCATGCCGCCACGCTGCCATGCTGCCATGCCACCATGGTGCCATTGTTCTTGCTCTTCCGTTCGCCTCCTCACTCATCTAGGATCTCAGAGTGCTACCTCCTTGTGCCCGTACCTCTTTACACCCCTTGCCACACCGCTATCAACTCTGTTAATCCCTCACCACCTCACTCAACCGCCCTCCACCCTCCCGCCCTGGTATCAGATTTCTTCAAGCTGATGCACGAGGTGGAGAACGAGGACCTGGTGTTCACATTGGAGGTCATCGTGGAGAAGTTTGGCGAGGAGATGTCTCCCTTCGCCGTCGGCCTCATCCACAACCTCGTACGTGCTACCCCCTGCCCTGATTTCCCTCCCTGCCCTGATTTCCCTGCCCGCCCTGCCTGCCCGCCCTCATTTCCCTGCCCGCCGTTGCCTTCCTGCCCTGCCCGCCTTTGCCTGCCTGCCTGCCATGTTTATTACGCGCGCGTGCATTGCCCCATGCCTGTCGACCCACGCCCGTTGCTCCATCTCTTTCAGAGAGAGCTACTCATCACGCATGCATGATACATGAGGGTGGGGTTGCTGTGCTGTGTGAAACGGTATTCCAGCGCACACCATGACCCCGTATTCCGCCGCTCACCCCCTCCCACCACGGCAAGCGGCGGCGTTCTGGAAGTGTGTGCGGTCATCAGAGGCAGCAGAGGGTGCAGAGAGTGAGGAGGCGGTGGATGACATGAGCGCCCTGGCAGCAACGGGGTGCCTGTCAGCCTGAGGGCCATGGGCACGGTGCTGGAGTCAATCCCTTACTCCCCTCCCTCCCCTTTTCTCTCCTTGTCGTACCACCTCCCAATGGCAGGCGGCGGCGTTCTGGAAGTGTGTGCGGTCGTCAGAGGCAGCGGAGAACGAGGAGAGTGAGGAGGCGGTGGATGACATGAGCGCGCTGGCAGCAGCGGGGTGCTTGAGGGCCATGGGCACGGTGCTCGAGTCCATCTCCTCGCTGCCGCACCTCTTCCCGCAGCTCGAGCCCACGCTGCTGCCCATCCTGCACAAGATGCTCACATCTGACGGCCAAGGTGGGCGGGATGCTCTTGTGTTAAGGGCTATGTGGGCTGGTTTGGAGCTGGGAGTGGGTTTACTGTGCATGCACGGAGGCATGTGACTTTCTGAGGCACCTTGCCATAGCACAGCGCGGAGTGCGTTGCTGAGATGGCATGATGGCGGGTTCGGAAGGTTTTACTGACAGCAGTGGGGCACCGTCTCAATGTCTCCCTCTCCTTCTATTCATTGTGTGGCGTGGCATGGCATGGCATGTGATGGCATGGCAGACCTGTACGAGGAGGTGTTGGAGATCGCCACGTACATGACTTACTACAGCCCATCCATCTCGTTGTCTCCCTCTCCTTCTATCCCCATTCTCTCCCTCACTGTCTCCCTCTCCTTCCATCCCCCATGTGGCATGGCATGGCATGGCACAGACCTGTACGAGGAGGTGTTGGAGATCGCCACGTACATGACTTACTACAGCCCATCCATCTCGCCCGCCCTCTGGTCCATCTGGCCGCTCATCCTCTCCTCCCTCAACGAATTCGCCATCGACTTCTTCGAGTGTATGCCCCCTGCTCCCTGCTCCCTGCTCCCTGCTCCCTGTTCTTGCCCTTTTCCCACCTTTTCTCCTGCATCATACCTACCCTCTCACCCCGTGTCACCCGCTCATCCTCTCCTCCCTCAACGAATTCACCATCGACTTCTTTGAATTTACGCTGCTCTGCCCCCTGCTCCCCGGCTGATTGCATCGTACCTAGCCCTTCACTCCACGTATGCTCCCTAGGATGCGTGCACCATTGCTCCTCACCTCACCTCCGCCCCCCTTTCCTGTTGTCCTAATCCCCATGTGTCCCCCCCGTGCAGATGCGTTGGACCCGCTGGACAACTTCATATCGCGTGGCACGGAGCACTTCCTCACGTGCCCCGACCCCAACTACCCCGACTCGCTCTGGAAGCTGCTCTCCAAGGTGGGGTGCTGCTCTCCAAGGTGCGGTGCTGCTCTCCAAGGTGCGGTGCTGCTCTCCAAGGTGCGGTGCTGCTCTCCAAGGTAACGTGCTCTCTACTGGTCAGTGCGCATGCAGAGAGCACGGTGGTGCACGCGCACTGCCCACCTTCACAGTACCTTCCTCCCCACCCGCCCACCCACTCTCTTCCGTCTGTTTCACTCACCCCATTCATGACTCGCACCACCCCATCACCCATCTCCACCACCCCATCACCCATCCCTACCACTCATCCATCCCTACCACCCCATCACCCCATCACCGCACCACCCCACCACCCCACCACTCCCCCACCCCATCACACCACCACCCCATCACCCCAGCTATTGAACGACGATGACATCAGCGATCGCGACGTGGTGCCAGCGCCGAAGCTGATGGAGGTGGTGCTGCTCAACTGCCCTCACACACACAACCATTTTCATGCCCTCCACTCACCACTGCATCACCCCTCCCTTCCGTTGCCTTCTCAGTTGCTAAACGACGACGACATCAGCGATCGGGACGTGGTGCCAGCACCCAAGCTGATGGAGGTGGTGCTGCTCAACTTCCCTTGGCCGCAACCCTTCCCTTGCCCCCCACTCACACCACGCTATCACCCTCTCCTTTCCCGTGCCTTCCAGTTGTTGAGCGACGATGACATCAGCGATCGGGATGTGGTGCCAGCACCCAAGCTGATGGAGGTGGTGCTGCTCAACTGCCGCGGGCGGGTGGACGCGTGGCTGCCGCTGTACCTGCAGCTCGCCCTCACGCGCCTCAACAAGGCCTCCCTGCGCCACCTCAAAGACCTCCTCATGCAGGTCCGTTTGTGCTGTGGGTGTTGCTGCTGCTCCTCCTCATGCTGGCGACAATGAATGCAGATGGCGGCATGATTGTTGATGTTCCATTTCTTTATCAATCTTAACTCTCACTCTCCCTCCCTCCCCCCCCCTCCCTCTCTCTCCCCCCACAGGTTGTGTCGAACAGCTTGTACTACAACGCGCAGCTCACACTGCAAGCGCTGGAGGGCATGGGGGCGACGGCAGGCGTGTTCCAGACATGGCTCACCATGCTGCAGGCCAAGAGCCAGACCACCAGCAAGCGCCTCCACTTCAAGAGGTGACAGCAAGGATTTGTGCATGAACCTGTAAATTCACTGGTTTTTTTCTCTCTTTCCTTCCTTTTTTCTATTCCGTTAGTGCCTCTCCTGTCCTTCACATTTACCCACACCAACCCCCCCTCCCCTCTTTCCCTCCCGTTCCGCCGCCCACAGGCAGCACGACAAGAAGGTGTGCATTCTGAGCCTGGTGTCGCTGCTCTCACTGCCCACGGCTGCTCTGGGAGCTTTGAGATTCCTTCAGCGTCTCTCCTTCCTCACCTACACACCATTTCCTCCTCTTCCCCCGTCCCCCACCCCCCACCACCACAGGCAGCACGACAAGAAGGTGTGCATTCTGGGGCTGGTGTCGCTGCTCTCACTGCCCACGGCTGCGCTGCCGGCATCAGTGGCACCGCTGCAGGGCGAATTCGCCAAGGCCGTGCTGCAGCTGCTCGTGGCGTACAAGGAGCAGCACGAGGGTGAGTGGCTGTAAAGGTACTGCGGTGAGTGAGTTGAAAAGAAATGTGACTGAAGCAAGAAGGAAGGTGCTCATTGTGAAGCAGCAAGGCCGTGCTGCAGCTGCTCGTGCCGTACAAGGAGCAGCACAAGGGTGAGTGAGCGGGGGAGGGGGAGTGACTAGAATTGAGTGAGAGCAAGGAATGTGACCGTAGCAATAAGGTTAAGTGTGAGGCTGCAAGGCCGTGCTGCAACTGCTGGTGGCATGCAAGGAGCAGCCGGCGAGTGAGTGGACTGTTAGGAACAGTAGGAGGGTGAGTGATTCTATGAAGCTGGCCAAATCAGTCCTTCCTCCCCCACCCATTTGTTGCTGCCAACCCCTCCCTGGCCCTGTGTGCGTGTGTGCGCAGCGGCAGAGCTGGAGTCAGAGGACGAGGATGATGACGAGGAGGGCGAGGATGGCATGGGTGATGGGGGGGAGGAGGATGAGGATGAGGAGGAAGAGGAGGAGGAAGGGGAGGAGTCATCAGAGCTGAAGAAGGCCATTAAGAAGGTCAGCTAGACAGCCATGCTGCTTCCTCTCATGCCACGCCTTCCTCCTTCACTTGTGCAATTTACTTGAATTACTTCTAGTATGAGCGATGTAAAGGGGGAGTTGCAGTGTGCTGCCGGGTGACACCTTCCACTTTCATGTCATAGCTGCATGTTCCCTTCCACACATGTGCTGGTGCTTGCCTTCCATGTTCCATGCCCTGCCCTGCTAGTCCCTCATCGTTGTGTGCTCGGCTCTTTTTCTTGGCATGGCATGGCATGGCATGGCAGGCGCACAAGATGTTGGATGGGGATGAGGAGGAGGACGAGGACGATGAGGGCTTCTGGTCGGACGAGGATGAGATGCTCACACCCATTGATGACGTCGACCCCTTCATCCACTTCTCTGACATAATGGCTGGTGAGATTCCGTGCACTGCCTCATGTGCCTCATGCTCACAGCATGGCTTGTGAGAGAGAGGGCAGGGAGTGCCTGTTGTGCCTCATACACACAGCAACGCAGATGAGATGCTCACACACATTGATCACGTTGACCCCTTCATCCACTTCTCCGACATCATGGCTGGTGAGCACTGCCTCCCTCCATGTGCCTCATACTCACAGCATGCTATGGCTGGTGGGATTGGCACAGTGTTTTGTACTGCTTGAAGCTCTCGCTCATCCATTCAGTGTTTTCCATTCTGTGCGCCAACACCACGACAGCAAGCCGACATATGTTGCTCCCTGATCCCCTTGCACCCGACCCTCCCTCTCTCCTCTCCCTCTTCTCCCCATCCATACCCCCTCCTCTGCCATTTCCCCACCCCTGGTGGCCCTCCTGCCCCACTTTGTCCACCCTTCCCCACCCCTCCCCACTCCCATAACCAGGGGTGCAAGCATCGGACCCGGCGCGGTTCAGCAGTCTGATGGGGTCGCTGGACTTTACCCACCAGGCCATGGCACACACAGTGGCGCAGGTGGCTCAGCAGCAGCGTGACTCCAAGGCCAAGGAGGCCGCAGAGAAGGCCGCGGGGGGTGCTGCAGCTACTTAGAGGAGGGTCTGAGGGGTTGCAGTCCCACGTGCTGCTGGTTTGGGGTGTGCCTATGAGGCTGCTTTGGGGTGTGCCTGTGAGGGGATGAGGTCGACACACGTGGCAGCGGCTACTGGAAGGCTGCTTGAAAGGCGGCTGGGGGTAAAGGAATCCCGAGACACAGAGGTGGCGTGCGTGTGGCCCTTGTAGGCGTGGGAGCACGGCTGCTGTGAGCAGCTGAGGAGAGAGAGCGTTGGCGACATCTGAGCAGCCCTAAACGTCATCTCAGCAGCCGTGGACGTCATTGGTTCCTGTGTTCCATTCCAATACGGCTGCTGAGCAGGTGTAACTGTTGGAGTGTGTGGAGTGTGGTTGAATGAGGCGATGATACCATTGCCATTCACAGACCATGCCGTTCTGCCACACACAAGCATGCAGCTGCTGTGACTGGCAGCTGCAGTTTTTCTGTTTCATGCGCCTCACCGGGAGACTGTTGTTTGTCTCGGGTGAGACTTTAGGAACAATATAGGCTATTCTTTATATTTGTGTGTAGAGCATGTAGCAAACGCTGTGTAGTGTAGTGAATGTTGGTAGAGTGAGCATAAAGATGTCTTTATGTGGCTGCTATTATAGTAAAACAGTTGGGTAGTAGAATAAAGTGTTAGTTCTCTTTACCAATTTCCATATGAGTATGCTCAAATCTCCACTGCTCCTGCTTGTGGTGTGACATTCCTGGCAGAGCCTTCACTCAGTCAGTCGGAACACAAAAACCCAAACAGAGGCCAGACCCAGGGGATTACATTGCACATATCGAGCACATGTACAGGGTGAATGGGCGAGGTGCACGTGTTTGCAATGCACTTGTTTGCGATGCCGTTTAAAGGGCCAGCTGCTACTTCATGTATTTGTTGAGGAAGCGGAGGTGGAAGTCGCTGCGAATGGTGGTGTGGTAGGTGACCCTGTAACTTCAGGTTGAAAAGAGAAGCATCCAGCAGTGCAAGCAAGCGCGTTACTTCATGTATTTGTTGAGGAAGCGGCGGTGGAAGTCGCTGCGAATGGTGGTATGTAACCCTGTAACTTCAGGTTGAAAAGAGAAGCATCCACCAGTGCAAGCAAGTGCGTTACTTCATGTATTTGTTGAGGAAGCGGCGGTGGAAGTCGCTGCGAATGGTGGTAGGTAACCCTGTAACTTCAGGTTGAAAAGAGAAGCATCCACCAGTGCAAGCAAGTGCGTTACTTCATGTATTTGTTGAGGAAGCGGCGGTGGAAGTCGCTGCGAATGGTGTCGTTGATGAACCGCTTGGTGGGCTTCTGCTCGTCCTTGGCCTGGTTGCGGAACACCACATCGTCGTCCCACCTGGCATGGGGGAGCGCATGGCAAGGGTGGCGAGAAATGAGTCAAGGGGACTTTAGAGTCGACAAGTCACCTTCTGCTCGTCCTTGGCTTGGTTGCGGAACACCACATCGTCGTCCCACCTGGCACAAGGCATGGCAAGGGCAGTGAGAGATAATGAGTTTTGAGACGTCTCAAAAAGCCATTAACCGCTTGGTGGGCTTCTGCTCGTCCTTGGCCTGGTTGCGGAACACCACATCGTCGTCCCACCTGGTGCGGGGGAGAGCATGGCAAGCAAAGGCAGTGAGAGGGGAGTGATAGGGGTGCGAGGAAGGGGATGGCATTGGCCGCGGATATGGATGCATGCAAGGGAGGAGGCTCGTGTTGCTGTGCTGCCATGCTGCCCTTGTTCACACCCCCTTCGCTCACACCCCTTGGCCCACACACCCCTGGCCCGTCCTCACCTGCGCTTGACAGCGAAGGCAGATCCCCCAGCAGCCATGATGGGGTTGCCGCGCGCCATCTCCTTCTCTCTCGCCTTCGCCTCCTGCTCCGCCTGCTCCTTCTCCTGCTCACATGCACCGCATGGGGGTGCAGAGGGCGGGCAGCAGGGCGGAGAGGCGAACCAGAGATGGACAAAACAGGCTTGACACATTCAATGCAAGCGCGAGAAGCCCATGGGTGTGCATTCAAGTGCACCCTTCGTGAACTCTGAAAACGATTCATGGCAGGGCATGGCATGCTGTGCGGACACACATGTGCAGCACACACAACCACATAGGCGGCCGCATGGGACGCCACATACCTTGCGCAGCTTCTCCTCCGCTCGCTCCTTCTTGATTCTCTCCAGCTCAGCAAGCAGCTCCATGGTGTCATCCTCGTCATCGTCCTCGTCATCATCGTCCTCATCCTCGTCATCACCCCCGCCGCCCCGCCTGTCCTCTCCATCGGAGTCGTCTGCATCCGCTGCTCGGGGTATCAACCGCTCCTCCACCTCCTTCCGCCCTCCCAACGCCCCGCCTGCACCTATGCACCCACGCAGCATGCATCATGCACACGAAGAACAGTCAGCAACTACGCCAAGACAGCAAACGCAAGCACGCGGAACGCACACGCAAGGATCGCCACCCACCAAACCGCGCTGCTGCGAACAAGCTCGCGGCCATTACCTGGTAACAGCAACCCGGTGGTTCGTTTGCGGTCGTCGGTGCGCAGCTGCTGCTCCTTGTCCTTAGCGGCGAAGTGCCGCCTCTCGCGCTCCTCCAGCTCCCCCCGCAGGTCCCGCCGCTTCACCTCCTCCTTCGTCACCTGCCCCTCCCTCCTGCTCCACCGCACGCCACCACGCGGCCGCGTGCCATGTACGAACACACGCCATGTTTGGACACAAACGATTGATTAACGGATATGAAGCGAGCTGCCTGACGGTATCTTTTACAGAGTACCTAGTATCACAATATAAATCGCCTATTTGAGGTTCCGACGCGCGTCTAATAAGCGACTCGTGAGCGTCGTGACGTCTCAACCGGAATGATGCTGGCTTGGCCTCAGCATGCTAGAGCTTGAATTAGAGACGTCTCTAAGTCCCGCACCTGGGTTTCAGGCTCTCGTGGCTGGCGACGTCTCTAGCGGAGTACTTCTGGCTCGGCCCGAATATGCGCGACCCGCCCTGCTCCTCGCCTCCCTTGGCCGGCGCCCATGTCGGCCGCGCTGCCGTCGTCATCGCGGCTTGTACGACGCTCGCGACGAAGCTTGCGACTTAAACAACGCCCTTGCGACAAAGATCACGTTCGCAAATTACGCGGCGCTGGCGAGAGACGTGTTACTATGTCCGAACCGCGTAAAACGATCGACACCCAAACAAGAACTGAACAGGGTGAATGCTGCAGCTGAGAACCTAGCAGCTTCAAGAACCACACTACCCTTGGCCGTGTCGCGCTGGAAGCTGCGTGTGCGAGTTTGCAGGGCTTGTCAATTGCGTCGGCTTTTATGGCTTCTTTCTCTCCCTCCTTCCCCCCTCACCTCGCCACCAGCCTCCTCGGAAAACCTAGAAATGGGCTCGTGAATGTAAACTGGGATATGGGCTGGCCTCTATAGCGAGTAGTAGCACTCGCAAACAAAGATGTACCAACAATGATGTACCAACAATGATGTACCAACAAAGATGTACCAACAAGGATTATTCTGGTGGTATAATAATACCAGCATTGACATTATTGGAGTCCATAGACTTTATGCACCCAGACAATACGCCAAAAGGGTATATGCCTCTATTGTTTGCAGCCATACCTCAACTATCCCTTTGATACTAAGCATTTGCCTCTATCCAACATTCAAATCTACTCCCAGCTACTTTCTCTTGTGTTGCTTAGAGCCAACAACACCAAGTAAAGCACCAATTAAACCACGTCTGCCAGTTCAGAAGCCTTCCAAGCCGAAATTACCTCATCCGTACCGCTCGGCACCTCACCGCACCTCCTCGACAGCCACGCACACGAGCCTGTGGCCAAGCTTCCAGTCCATGTGCTGATGCTCCACACAGCAATAGAAGGCCCGGTGGCACCTCTCACACGCCACCTCCGCCTTGCTCGACCCACACGCCTGACACGCCTTGCGCCCCGCAAAATCAGGGGGAGGTAGATTCAGAGGAGGCACCGCTTGCGCTAGTATCGGCCCTGCTACTACTCCCCGTGTCCCCCCTCCTGCTCCTCCTCCCCTGGATCCACCCCCCCTGCTACTGCTGCTGACGCTGCTGCCGAAGCTTGAGCTGCTTGTGATTGGCCGAGGGCTGCGGTGGGGGCTGCTGCCACGGTGCGGTGACCTGGCGGTCTGATGGTGTCGGTGCTGCTGATGTGGCAGCTGATGTGGCGTGTGCGAGTGGTGGGGGCTGGTGGAGGAGGGACGGGTGAGGGAGAAGGACTTGGAGCGTTGGAGGGGCGCGAGGGGCGAGGGGGAGGCGAGCGCGGGGGCGGCATGGGTGGCGACGGGGACGTGAGAGTCGCTGATGCCAGGTGCTTCTCCAGAGCTGCTCTGCAGGCATCCAGAGGGAAATTGCTGCAGGGTTGAACGCACAGGGAGGGGAGGGGAGGATGGGAAGAGGGAGGAGTGAAGAAGGGTGGGGTTGTATGATTGTAGTAAGATTGGAGCTGGTGATGATAATGAGAGCAGAGATTGAGAATACTGGTCGGTGAGAGCATAGATCTGCTGACTGCAGGAAATGATGCAGGTGCATGCACATACATGCACACCATGCCTCTCATGGGTTCAAACTAGTCAAGGTACTCACGTGGGTTCAAACGAGTCAAGGCACTCACGTGGGTTCAAACGAGTCAAGGCACTCACGTGGGTTCAAACAAGTCAAGGCACTCACGTGGGGTCAAACGAGTCAAGGCACTCACGTGGGGTCAAACGAGTCAAGGTGGCTCTTATTAGCGGCCCGTAGCACCCGTGTGCACGCGGCATCACGCTTGCTGCCATGGCTGCTGCGCACTCTCTCCAGCAGCCGCAGGTAGCCCCCCATTCCCCCCACGTCCTCCGGGGGACATGCCCCCCACCCATCCACCACCTCCGCTCTCAGCTGTGTGCCGCCATCCAGGAGAAGAGCAGGATGAAGGGAGAGAAAGGAAAGGGGAGGGGGCGGCGGGGGGAGTGCGAGGAGGGTCAGCAGTGGCACGAGCAAACCAACACGCTTGACAGGCATTGCACGCACATGAGGTTGCGAGGATGTAAAAGAATATAATCCTAGGCCAGGTAAAATTGACTCAAAGTACAAACAGCAAAAATAGGAATTCCAGAGATAAATCAATCAGAGGGAAGGGGAAGGGCACTGACAGGGCGGTGTGGCGGGCCGGGTGTGGCGTGCAGCAGCACGATCTCATGCTCCCAGCGGTCTGTGAGGTCATACACATACGCCATACGGTCTCCCTCCTGTGGGATGGGGCAAGGTGTGGATGGTGCAGGAATGGGTGGTGCAGGCATGGCATGGAACAGGAAATGGGGAATGCGAGCTCCATATACAATTGCACCAGCATCTGACAATAGCAGTTGCACCATGTAAGCAAAATCGCCCCCCCCTTTCTGCCAGCCCCTCGTGCTCACCTTGACGAGCATCTCCCCCAGCAGCACACAGTTGTCGTCCGCCAAGCCCTGCCCCAGCATGCGCGCCAGGGCAAAGTCAGGTGCGGCAGACAGGGTCGGCCCGAACCACACGCCAGGGCACGGGCCTGAGGAGGACCGGAACTTGTAGGCGTGATGATCCCTGTGGAGGGGGGGGATGGGCATGGGCATGAGAGGATGGGGTTGGTAATGGGTATGGGGGATGGACTGGGATTGAGCAACAATGGGCAATAGGAAATGATGATCAAGTCACGATGTGTTTCTGTGCTCCCCAGTACGCACCTAAACACCTGAGGCCGCAACTGAGCACCTGAGGACGCACCTGAGGCTGAGCACCTGAGAACGCACCTGAACACCTGGGGACGCACCTGAACCTGGGTACACGCCTGAACCTGGGGACGCACCTGAACCTGGGGATGCACCTGAACCTGGGGACGCACCTGAACCTGGGGACGCACCTGAACCTGGGGACGCACCTGAACCTGGGGACGCACCTGAACCTGGGGACGCACCTGAACCTGGGGACGCACCTGGCCCAGCCCATGGAGAGGCGCAGCACGTGCTTGTGGAACTGGCGGAGCGTCATGTGCCCCGACACCTCCATTCGCCTGATGGCGCAGTGCCACGGGGTGGGACGGGATGGGGTGGGGCCGGGTGGGGTGGCGTGGGGTGGGGTGGGGTGGGGTGGGGTGGGGTGAGATGGGATGGCACTGATGGGATGATATGGCCGAACATGGAATGTAGCGTCATGTGCCTGGCACCTCGCTCGCCTGATGCGTGCATGGCGTGGCATGACATGGGATGCCATTGGATGGGATTGGATTGCATGTGAGCAACGAGGGGAGGAGGACAGCATCAACTTGGGATGACCACGCTTCACTTGTGATTATAAAAAATGAAGCAGCCATCATCAAACCCTGCCTCTCCCCCTTCTCACCTCCAGATGGGCGGGTCGATTTGTCTCATTCGCACGTGCAGCATCAGGGACTGCGCCACCCCTGCGCCCATCTGGTCCGCCTGCTGCGCCCTCACGCGCCGCATCGCCGCCATTGCACCCGCCGCCGCCATCTCTGCTTTCGTCTTCAGCCGGTTCTCACGCTGCAAAAAACGAGCAAGGGGGCGAGGCGGATGCGGAAGAGAACAGGAATGGGTGGATAAGGACGGGATTCTCTAGACATTATTCAAGGAAGTAAGGCCTTTTGACAAGATGTCGTTCCAGTTGGTGCATGTTGCTCTCACCCGTCGTTCAAACTCGAGCTTAAGAATCTTGATGTTGATTGGTCCCAAAGGCGCCTCGAACGGCGCCTCCTCTTTCGCCTTGAACCGCACGTTCGCATCGTGATGCTCCGTGCTGACGTCAGCGGATCCCAGCGCCAGCTGCCGCTCGTCCCACGCGCTGAAGCCTCCGCCCGCGCCCGCGCCGCCCTCTCCCCCCGCCATTCCCCCGCCTGGCGGAGAGTACTGCGCGGGGAGGGTGTTGCAGCGGCTCATCACGACCATTCCCCCCGCCGCGCCCAGCTTCTCCCCTTCCCCGTGCGCGCTCGACCGCGCGCCTTGGCGGAACGCGGCGGCGGACGCGGAGCGCACGATGGGCATGAGCGGCGTGCCGGGCGTGCGCAGGGAGGAGGAGGAGGAGCAAGCGGAGAGGGGACGAGGGGAGGAGTGCGGCGGGGGGGAGGGGGAGGAGGAGGCTGAAGTTCCGCGCCCAGGGGAAGGGGAAGAGCCCCAGGGGAGCGCAAGAATGGGCGCGGCGGAAGGGGGCGCGGGGAGAGCTAGGAGCGGGGAGCCGGGCGGGATGGGGTGGGCGAGGGGAAGGGAGCGGGCAGGGGCGCGCGGGGGCGGCGGACGGCGCACTTTGGGCGCAGCGATGGTGGCCTCGTAGACCGCTCCGAACATGGTCGTGCTGCAGGGAGCAGCGGGGAGTGGGGGAAGGAGAGGGGGAAAAAGGGGCTGGGTTGTTTGTGAGCGGGAAGACGAATTTACCGAGTTCCTCGCGGTGCACCCAGCACATCTCCCCAGCTCCCGCAATCCCCTCGCGCAACACTCACATGCCCCCTCGCGCAACACTCACATGCCCCCTCGCGCAACACTCACATGCCCCCTCGCGCAACACTCACATGCCCCCTCGCGCAACACTCACATGCCCCCTCGCGCAACACTCACATGCCCCCTCGCGCAACACTCACATGCCCCCTCGCGCAACACTCACATGCCCCCTCGCGCTTCACTCACATGCCCCATCGCGCTTCACTCACATGCCCCATCGCGCTTCACTCACATGGGCGTGCCCCCTCGCGCTTCACTCACATGGGCGTGCCGCAGAAGCCGCCGCCCACGAAGACGGCGCCGTCGTTGCGCTGCACGAGCCAGAAGTGCGCGCCGGCGCGGAAGTCGTCGCCCTTGGCGGCGAGCGGCGACCAGATGCCCAGGTCGTGGTGCCACAGCCACGCGTCGCCGTAGTACCGACACCCGTCGCGGTGAATCGCGCCTGATGGGGGGAACACAGAGAGGCAAGAGGACGAAAGGGGGAATGAGAAGGTGAATCGCGCTTGGGAGGGACAAGAGCACCACAACACCCCACGAGAAGGCAGCGCCACACGGCTAGCG